ATTGTATTCTAGTTTTCTTAAACCAGATAATGTTATGAAGATATTGAATAGACTGTCTCAAATTCTGTTTTTTCCTGTCCCGTCACCATTTTTGTAATATACCACGCAAAAATTCTTGTCTTTTACCAACACTTACAGATTACAGTCAAACCAAGAATGACACATCAGCTACTACCTGCCTTATTTTGGTTTTCTAAAAAGACTGTTCTTAGAAATTAAGTTTTTTTTTTAAAGATTTATTTTATTTTTATTGGAAAGGCAGATATACAGAGAGGAGAGACAGAGAGGAAGATCTTCCGTCCAATGATTCGCTCCCCAAGTGAGTGCAACAGTCGATGCTATGCTGATCTGGAGCCAGGAGCCTCTTCTGGGTCTCCCACGGGGTGCAGGTTCCCAAAGCTTTGGGCCGTCCTCGACTGCTTTCCCAGGCCACAAGCAGGGAGCTGGAAGGGAAGAGGGGCCACCGGGATTAGAACCGGCGCCCATATGGGATCCTGGGCGTGCAAGGCGAGGACCTTAACCACTGCGCCACTGCGCCGGGCCCGAAATTAAGTTTTTTAGTTGAGATAACATATAGCATACATTCTGAATTTACTAAATAGCTGTTACATAGTTAATTTTTTTCAGGAAATATCTTGGCTTCACATATGCTAAAACATTTTTTAACTCCTTCAGTTTCCGTTTTTATGCCTATGCATTCCAGGTTTTGTTTGTTTGTTTTGTTTTATTTTTTAAGAGTTGTTTTGAAAGTTGGAATTACAGAGAGGGAGGAAGAGACAGAGATCTTCCAGTGATGGTTTCAGTGGTCCCAGAATGACTACAACAAGCAATACAGTGCCAAGTAAGCCGAAGCCAGGAAGCAGGAGCTTCGTCTGTCTACCTCGTGAGTGGCAGGGACCCAGACAGGCAGGACACCCGTGTGGGGTGCTGGTATCACAGGTGGTAGCTTACCTGCTGTGCCACAATGCCAGCCCTTTTACTTTTCGTTTTCATTTAATAATTGCTTGTTGAGAGATGGCTATTTTGAGAAATGCTTAGGAATACTTGAAACTTCCTGCAATTTTTGTTTTGGAGAGGCAGAAATAGTGAGCTCCCATCTGCTGGCTCATACTCCAGATGCACACAATGGCAGGGGTTGGGCTGGGCCAAAGCAGGAGCCAAGGACGCAGTGCAGGTCTCCTGTAGCAGTGGCAGGGACACAACTAGAGTCATGTCTGCTTTGCGAGCAGGAAACTAATAAGCCAGACACTAAGCCCAAGCACTCGTGTGTGGGATAGGCCGAGGGCCAGCTCCTGCCCAGCGGCTGCTTGCTGGAAGCAGAGCTCTGGCATACTTATACCTCGAGCTTAGGAAGTTGAGCCGGTGGGACGTGAAGTTGCTACGAGAGACTTTGAAGATAAATGGAAAACATTTCTGTGCTGGAGGCCAGTCAGGGAGACACTGTTCTGGTTAAGTTGCTGTGTCATTTATTTTTTTCAGATAAAATTTTAAAAAGCATTGGAGTACTTAACAAGGAAATGCTGACATCCGTTTGTGTACATGTATGACTTATCAAGTAATTCAGGATGTTTGAGTGTTTTAAAATACTGTTCAAACAGCTGTAGTGTCATTAGTTTGCCTGTTGTTTAAACCTGTAAAAGCCATGTCCCTTTATTGTGCATTTGATCTCCAGACTTCGTCCCTCCCTCTTTAAAGCAGTCTCTGCTTAGCCCTGTCCCGTCTGCATTTTCAGAGATGACATCTATCTCTTTCTTTCTTCTAAGTCTTATTTCATTAACTGCTCAGCTGCTGGAAGAGTCCAGGATGTGACGTGGTATCCTTCTTAGGCCCATCTAGCTGGTAAGGTTGTTACAGATCCAGCCAGGCTCTGCCATGAGTGGGCGAGTTCTGTTCTAGGTTGAATTCAGAGCAGTTGTGAGCCCCTGTCATCCTTGCTTCCCAAGCCCTTTGCAAAAAGTTGATGTTGGGCATGGCTTGAGGTGTTATAGTGAGAGTCAATCCAGGGGGGCCTGTCCTAAAGGAGCCTGTGGGGAGAGCTTTGCGGATAATCCAGAGCAAAGATAGATTAGCTCTTGCAATCCCTGTAGACTGGACCTTGCCTCTTTCTGTTCCGAGAGGCTCCTGGACAGTACGGCCCTGAAGTTTGTCAGGGTGTGTGTCATTAGATGCTCAGGCCACCACAACAGGAACCAGACTAGGTGGCATACTCAGCAATATTCTTGCATGGTTCTGGGATCTAGTTCCGCCAGATCAAGGTCTGAGAAGGTTTGCTTTCTGGAGAGGACTGCCCAGCTCTGCAGCTGGCTGCCTTCTCGCTGATCCTCCCTGGCCTTTACTTCTGAAGGAGTGGTGCATCTCTTGTGAAGACACTGATCTGCCCTGAGAGCCACATGTTCATGGCCTGACCAGTGCTAATCACCTCTCGAACATCCGTCTCCAAAGGCCGCATGGCGATAGTAAGGCTTCAGTGCATGTGCAAGCACTGGGTTCCTAGCGGAGTGTTACCTTTGGTCATTAGGGTTTGAGAGAAATTTCTTGGCCTTGCAGAGTGACCTTCTCCCTGAAAAATGTATCACTCTGAAGGTGCAAGGTATTAAGAAGTATTAAGTTACAAGGTGATAGATAGAAATGTGTTTCACTGTGATGAATAGACAGTTAAATGTATCTGTATATAAATTTCAGTTTTCTCTCCCTTGATTCTTCCTCTTAACATACTCCAAATCCAACCCCTTTCTGCCTCTAACTTTTTTTTTCCCTTCGAAAATAAATAACAAAACCAAACAACAACAACAAAAAAATTTAAAGAAGCTTAGCTAAGCTTTCCTTTTGTAGGATTTTTATAAATATTAGTTGTATTTTCTAGAAGAAAAAGGCTTACTGAAATGTACTGGTATTTACTTGTTGACACTGACACTACCACTACATAGACATTCGAAGATTTAAAAAGAATTGCAATTATATGCATTGGCAGTGTAGTCCAGTCTTGATTTTTTAAAAAAGATTTATTTATTTATTAGAAAAGTGGACTTGCAGAGAGAGAGATTTTCCAACTGTTGGTTCACTCCCCAAAAGGCCACAGGTACTGGGGCTAAGCCAAGCAGAAGCCAGGAGCCTAAAACTGCATCTGGGTCTCCCACATAGGTAACAGGGCCCAAGCACTGTGCCCCCTTCCTGTGCTTTCCCAGGGAGCTGGGTCAGAGGTGGAGCAGCCGATGCTGGCATTGGTGGCTGTGACAGTTGAAACTTCTGTAACTCTGTAAAATTTTCTTCTGTGATTTTGCTGTTGAAATAGTATATCCATGTCAAAATGCCAAATAAAAGTCAATGATTCAGCCAGCATTTTAATAGACCTCGTATAATTTTATCAAATCTTTTCAATTTTTGCCAGCCTAGCCACTCCTTAGGAGCTTCTTGGCTGTGCTGGTCACAGCCTGGCTGAGGTGGCGGAGGGCGGACTTAGTTGTTACAGATAAAGTATTTTAAATAGCTAAGTTAAAAACTAGGGTGCATGTGGAGTTCATTGTTTCAAAATGTTTAAATTTGTTGTGTCCTTATGAATCTATATTAAATTGCTCCTTGTTTTCTTAAGACTGGAAACATTTGTGACTAAAGATGTATTAAACAAGAAACTTGTATGTCAGATAGTTTATTTAATGTATCTAGTTTAGGAAAAATCTCCCAAAGATTCATCTTCATTTAAATTTTTTTTAAGCTTTCTGTGTGTTGTCTTAGTACCTTGTATGCATTACATGTCTTTGCAACAAGTAGTGGTTAAGTTTCACTTTAAAGTAGTAAAAATAGTTGCAAGGGTCAAGAGGAGTGCAGACAGCCTTCTTGTATTTTGCTTTGTAACTCTGAAGATTTTATTTTTGTCCGTGATATTTAAACCATTTATTTCAATTTAAAACTTAGGAGTGGGTTTAATAGAGTTTATTCCCCCTTTAAAATAAAAAGCACTTTCAAAGTAATTTCAAAACATTTAATTTTGAAAGGTAATAGATTATTTAAATATCAGTAGCTAAGTCATGGGAAGACACAGAGGAGCTAAGAAAACAATGAACAAGTTCAGAAAGAGCTCGCAGTCCACATCTGGATTGATCATCTGCATTGGTGCACACATGGGCCACAGTAGTCTGTGTCTATTCAGTCCACAAGTATCTTAAAAATACTCCACAATGGACATATCTACAAGTCCTCATTGGTGATTTGGTATGTTTTTATCCATTTGTTAATATTCAGATTATATTGATAGCAGAAAGCTTCCATGAGAGAGATCTTGCTTACTTATTTTAGTGTCTACTTTAAAAAGCGTAGTGAAAACCACCCAATTTAAGTCATGAACAATTCAATTATAGATGTTAAATGATAGCTAAAGTAATTTTGATATTTGTGTACATCTGAGGATCTAACAGAAATCTTAAGTTTCTGGTTTCATTCTTACAACAATTACAGTGGTATCTGCCCAGAATGAGTGATGGGACTGCGTGAGGGCTGTTTGTATTCCAGTTGTGTAAGGGTTAGGAATAATTCGTAGTTTTTGTTTCTATCTTTCTTCCTGTTAAATATTTAAAAGATGTTTTAAAATATCTTCATTTTATTTGTTTTGCACTAGTAAATCATTTCCTTTTAAATTAAAATTTGGATAGACCAGAAATAAAATATTCAGCTCATTTTGTGTCATAAGTGAATTTCAGGCTACCTTAATTCACTTTTAATATAGACATGATAAAAATGCATTTCATGTGTGTCGTTACAGAACGAAGCCCAGCATCTCATTAGGTACAGGTTTTTACGTGGCAGATGATTTCATGGAACAGGCTTTGCATCACCTCTCCCCCTTTCAGGAATTGAAAAGAGAGATTTAGTCCCTAAGCGCAGTAGTATTTTATATTACATTCTTCTTTCCATCACTGCCAAAAAATGTTTGAGGCATGGCTAAAAATATCTTTTTATATCACAAATAAATTGAGCTTGTTATAGTCCCCTCTCTTCATTTTCAGGAAGAGGCAGAGATCCAGGCAGAACTGGAACGCTTGGAAAGAGTTAGAAATCTTCACATACGGGAGCTCAAAAGAATAAACAACGAAGATAATTCACAGTAAGTCATGATTTGTATTTCACAGTTGTACTTGAGAAAAGCCAGCCTGTCTGTGTCCTCCCCACTGTGGAAACACGAAGCTTACGTGCCCTTTCCTGGCATGTCCACACGCAGGGACCCAGAGGCCCTTCTCGAGCTCATACCCCGGCTGCCTCAGACACGTGCATCCGTCCCAAGGCTTGTGTTCCTCTTGTGGGGTGTCTGTGGATACCTGAGGGACTTAGTCCTTGTTCCACCCTGAGTATTGACTGGCGAGCCTGCGCTCAGGCCGCCTTGCCTGACCCAGCAGGAGCTGCCTCAGCCCGTGCCTCCGGCCAGGGTCCTTTCCCTGTGTCCCCCAGAGCAGGCATGACTGTGGCAATGCAGATGTTGCTGCCTGGGAGGAGGGACTTAGTTCTGTTCTTACCTGCATCCCCAGGACCTACACCAGAGGCTGGCCTGTAAGTATTTGCTGGCTGAATACCAATGTCACTGTTAAGGCAGTGAAGTTATCCCAGCTATGCCATATATCTAGCATTATGGAAGAAATGGAAAAATACAAATTATAGTCTCTGCTCCTAGTCTCAAGTTATCAAAATGAATGCCATAGGTATTTCAGGTTAAAGGAATTTTTAAAATACCTTCAGGGCAGGAAGATGGCATTCCTTGAATTTAGTCAGTGTAAAGATGTCTAAGTCTCTTAAGACTAGTTATGTTACTTAAAGCTTCATGACTTACAAGTTATGAATTTGAAGTCTTGGGCTGGTGTTGTGGAGCTGCAAGCTAAGCTGCCAGTTGCAATGCTGGCATCCCTACCTTATGCCAGTTCAAGCCTGGCTCCCCTCCTCTCAGTCCAGCATCCTGCTGAAGCCCCTGCATGGGCAGAGAATGATCGCCCAAGTGCTTGGGCCTCTGCCGATAGGTTTCAAATGGAAGTGGCAAGTTTGTGTTGTAAATGTGTCATAGTAAAAGGATGTTTCTGGGTGTTGAATGAAGCTATTCACCGCTTCACATGGAAGTGCTTAATATGTGCCCGTCTATATTAAGTGGTGAATAACAGGATTGTTGTCTAAATGATTTTAAACCTTTTTAAGTTGGTGATTATAGTTTTATTTCATAGTTCAAAGACCAGAAGATTTAATTAATGATGGGTAAGAGCCAGTTCGTAAATGTGATTATTTTTAATTGTATGTCAGTACCATAAAACCTTGATTAAGTATAACTCCCAGTGCAGGAGATCGGCTTTCCTAGGAGCAGTGGTTCCTGCTGGGTAGATAAAGCCTTTAGGAAAGTGCTGTGGTTGGTCCCTGAACCTGAATATTCAGCTACCACAGATAAGCTCAAAGCCTTAAGATAAATGGTAGACCTGCACGTAAATTGGAGGAGAATGAAATACTTAACAGAATTTTTTAAATTAACACTAGAGTGTCTGAGGAAGAAAAAGCCTATGAGTAAGGGAAAAAAATGAAACTTCAAAGAGTTGTTTTCAACATACTTGTTTTTGTTTGTTTTAACCCACCCTCAAGGTTCAAAGATCACCCAACGTTAAATGAAAGATATTTATTACTTCATCTGCTTGGTAGAGGCGGCTTCAGTGAAGTTTATAAGGTAATGTGAATTTATTCTGTTTGCAGTGCAGTACAGAGATGCAGGCTACGATGGAGTTGAGAAACACTTGTCTTTGGTTTTATGTCCTCTTCTTGCTGTGACTTAACATTCTTTTATCTCTAAGGACAGTCCTTGCACCTGCACAGTCGCTTTGATATTTCGTGGCCACTCACTAATAGCCAGCCCGGTTGTAGTTACAACCTTCTGAATCAAGATGGGAAGCTAGCCACTTAATGCAGGGCATTGCGGAATTCATTGATTGTGCCCTTAATCTAAACGGGTCCCTAGTTTTTTTTTTTGTTTGTTTGTTTTTTTCAGGTCTCTACTTTTAACATGACCAAAATTTACCCAAATCTATGTATTCTTTAAAGCCATTGCTTTTTATTCATTGTGTTTATTGCTTTATACTTTTATTTTATATTGTATCTTTAAAAGTAGGATCTAGTTATGTATTTGAAAGGTAGAAACAGAGAGAGAGAGAGGGGACAGACAGAGCTCTTTATCTGCTAACTCACCCTCTGAATGGCCACGGCAGCCAGGGCCCGGCCAGTCTGGAGCATCTTGTCTCTGGCGTCTCCTGCAGCGTCCCATGCACTTGGGCATCTGCTGCTTTCCCGAGCACATTCACAGGGTGCTGGCTCTCAATTGGAGCAGCTAGGAGTCAGACCAGCTGTTGGCATGCAGGATGCCGCTGCAGTAGGTGGAGGCTTTACTCTCTATGCCACAGCTCCAACCCTACATTGTTGCTGAAGTTCTTACTCTATATTGTCAATTTAGAAGATTCTTTTTCACTTTTCAACTTTTTAATTCATTTAGATTTTTAATCGACTTTAATTAGCCAAGTTACCATCTGCTTCCACCCCAGGTTAAACCACGTTTACACACACACAAAGTACTTTGAAAATTTCATAGAAAAATAGCATGAAAACTTAAGTTTATTTAAGTATAGATTTTTGAAAGCATGGAGTTTGGGTGTTTTTTTTTTTTTAGAATATTTATTTCCCATTAACTTTTCAGAGGCTTCCTTGCTTCATGAAATTTCAAAACATTTTTACTCCAAAATAATTTTTTTACTTCCATTTCTCCTCAGACTTTTTGCCATCTTTGTGTCCCACTTTGCCATACAAGTGCCCTTCCTGTCTTTGTACATGGCTTCCTGTGGGTGTTTCAAAGGCATTGCAGATTCCTGTGGAAGTACAGGTTCTCTTCCTCTTCTTGAAAGCCCCCTCTCCTGAGACTGTTGCCTCACTTGGTGTGGCGCTGCCTTCACCTGCCTGGCTCCTGAGAAGTGCCAGAACCTTCCTTCATTCCTCCCAGCCCTCAGTTCTGCTCCCCAGGTGCACCTGTGGTGCCCACTGTCGCGAACACCATTTCTCTCTTCTAAGTGCAGCCCTCAGCCCTCTCGTCGCTCTGCTTACATAGCTGCCCTCTTCCAGCAGATTCATGCGCTTCTCCAGAGCATCGACTCCCCCCAGGTCACTGGGTGCTCCAGCTCGAGGGGGCTGTTTTGAAAGGCAGTCTGGTTGTCGGCCTTGTTCTGTGGCCCTGGAGCTTCTCCCGTGCTCTCAGGCTGAAGTCCTAGGGAACGCCATCCTACCGGCTCAGCTGCAGCTTCCCCGACCGCTGCTTCGCCTTTGGAGCTTATTTGGGCTGCCAGTTATCTTGTTTTACATTTTTGAATATCTGTTGGATGTTAAAATGTATCTAAGAAACAGACACTGAGGGGTCTCTGGTTTACTTGATTGACCTCCCAGATGCCTGTATCTGCCTGGCCTGGGCAAAATCAAACCAGGAGTTTGGCACTGCTACCTGCCAGCAGGCAGCAGGAATTGACAGTACAGCCAAAACTCAAACCCAGGAACTCTGATACCAGCTTGTGGCTATCCCAAGTGCTGTTTGCTGCTGCTGCTTGCTGCTGCTGCTTGCTTTCTTTTTTTTAATGTACTTTTCTTAAAGGCATATTTACAGAGGACAGAAAGATGAATCTTCATCTGCTGGTTCACTCACTCTCCACATAGCCAGAAAGGCCAGACATGAGCTGAGCTGAGCCGAGCTGATCCGAACCCAGGAGCCAAGAGCTTCTTCCAGGTCTCCCACGTGGGTGCAGGGTCCCAAGGCTCTGGGCTGTCCTCCGCTGTTTTCCCAGGCCACCAGCAGGGAGCTGGATCAGAAGGGTAGCAACCAGGACTCGAACTGATGCCCATGTGGGATCCCAATGATAATGTCATGGCACCGGCTCAAAGCTTTGATTCAGTTTAAGAACAAAGAGATTTGTTTATTGGAAAATCAAGTTAACAGATAGGGAGAGGCAGAGATACAGTCCATCCCCGAGATGGCCACAAGAGCCAGGCATGGGCTGAACTAGACTCAGGAGCTTCTTCTAGGGTTAATGTGCTATGCCACAGCACCAGGCCCAGATGACTGAATAAACTTGGGCATGTTGGTTAAAGCTCTGCTTCACTCTTTCCTTCTTGGAGTGTAACAGTATGTACCGTACAGGCCCACTGTAATGGTTAACTGAGGTATCACGGGTGCATTAATGCTTACGGAATATAAATTAATATGATTATTACTAGAAATCCTCCCTGTTTAGTTAGTCAAGGAATAGTCAACTTACTATTTCCTAGTTCTAACTTTAGGGAAGATGATGAGATTTAGATTCAGAGAATGTCAATTTTTTAAAAAATGTTTAAGGTTTATTTTTTGTTTATTTGAAAGGCAGTCAGGGAGAGAGAGGGAGGGACACCTTCCATCTACTGTTTGACTCCCCAGATGTTTGCAGCAGTTGGGGCTGGCTGCGCTGAGCCGGCAGCTTCATCCGCATCTCCCTCACGAGCACAGGGTTCTGCTGCCGTTCCAGGCATATGAACAGGGAACTGGATCAGAAGTGGAGCAGCAGGGACTTGAACCAGCACCCATATGGGACGCTGGCACTTCAGGCAGTGCCAGTCCCCCAAAACTGTTTTCTGTTTAACTTGGACAAGCATTAGGCATCCTGTGCCTTCCCACCTTTGAGGTCTCTTTCAATTCCTTTTTCTGATTTTACTTGATCCTAAGGCACACAGTTGAATGTGATAGTGGTAGAAATGTGCTTAAAGACCACAAGATTTAGGGGCAGGGAAATAATATAATTCACCTTGGGTTTAAAACTAAGTGGAGGGCCCGGCGCGGTGGCGCAAGTGGTTAAAGGTCCTCGCCTTGCACGCCCGGGATCCCATATGGGCGCCGGTTCTAATCCCGGCAGCCCCGCTTCCCTTCCAGCTCCCTGCCTGTGGCCTGGGAAAGCAGTCGAGGACGGCCCAAAGCTTTGGGAACCTGCACCCGCGTGGGAGACCCCGAAGAGGCTCCTGGCTTCGGATCGGCATAGTATCGGCCCGTTGCGCTCACTTGGGGAGTGAATCATCGGACGGAAGATCTTCCTCTCTGTCTCTCCTCTCTGTATATCCGCCTTTCCAATGAAAAAATAATAAAAATAAATCTTTAAAAAAAAAAAAAAAGATTTAAAAAAAAAAAAAAAAAACTAAGTGGAATCTAAAAATCACCAGTAGTAAGGTTAGCATCCACTCAGAGGTTGCTAGGCTGAGCTGAACCTCTTACAGACTTGCAAGACAGCTCTCTGCCACTGCCCAGTGGTACCCCCGTGGGCAGAACTCTTATGGAGAAATTGGAATATGTGCTGACTTCTGCATCAGCTAAAACTTAGAAACAGTTCTCTTTGACCCCTTTTATCAAGGCCCATTGCACTGGAAATTTTAAAAAGCAAGTTATAAGAAATAAAGAATTTAATCTTACACTGGGATAGGAAATTTCAAACCAGTTGCTCACTGATTACTATCAGACTATAGTTATTCAGTCCTTGTAGAAAGATTCAGCCACACTCATGTAATGTTGGGAGGAAAATGTGTTCCCTAGTTCACCAAAATCAACATATACTTAAGTAGCTTGGTAGTAGTATACTGAGAATTTTTTTTCTTGTGCTTTGTGATTGCCTGTGAATTTTATTCTTCATAAGCTTATTGACTTTTTTGTCTTAAATATACTTTTCTGTTTCTTTAAACTTAACAATAATAGTAATTAGCTCATCTTTGTTGGTTTTTTTTCTACGAGGCTTGTTTTCTAAATATGTCTTGTGCTGTACCCCATTTAATCCTCTTAACTGTAGCTTAGTAAGATAGACTGAGTTTCCATCTGTTCAAAGGGAAGCAGGACCTGAGAGAACATTCTTGACTACTGCATCCTGTAGCAAGTCTGATTTCATGCTTTTATGATTCTGTAGCAAAGTAGTCACTTTACAGTGTTGGCTGCTTGCTTTAGGTTAACTTGATAGGGAGGGAATGGCTGGAGAGTGGAGATTCTTTTTACTGAATATATAAGCAAAAGTTTTAAATGGTTATTTTTGTGTCTAAACTACAGTGGGTTAAATATAATAGCATTTGGGGTTAGTCATTTGAGACAACCAGGGAAATTTGGAGGCACATTGGATATTGAGAGTAAGAAATTATCAGTGCAGTTCATAATGATTTTTTCCTTTAGGTTTCTATCATGTCTTAGAAACACTGAAGAATTTGTGAGATGATCTGTTGTCCAAGATTTGTTCTGAAAATAATCCAGGGCTGATGGCAGAGTAGGTAGTGGGGGCAGTAAGAAATAGATGAATCAAGCACAGAATCATCGCAGTTTAAACTGAGGATTTATTATACTGCTGTTCATAACCATGTAGACTTGGAGTAGTTGGATAATTAATTTAAAAATAGAAAACATTGGGAAAAGACTTTTAAAGGCTTATCCAACCTTCCCCCCGCCCCCCAAGAAAGTGTTATAGGAATGGACATTGTGGCATAGAAGCTCCAGTGGCGAACCCATGGCATCCTGCTTCGTCCGCTTCTGATCTCGCCCTCTGCGTACCCAGGGAGGCAGCAGCTCGTGGTTCCAGTACTTGGGCCCTTCCGCCTGTCTGGAATTTGAGCTCCTGGCTGTGGCCTGGTCTAGTCCTGGTTGTTGTGGACATCTGAAAAGTGAACCAGCAAGTGGAAGATTAATCTCTTCCTCCTTGTACCTTTCAAATAGATGAAAATAGTAAACATTTAAAATAATTTAGCCATTTGTTTTCCTGGCTGCTTGCTAGTACTGTTAGAGGAAGTCAGTGTTAAAGAGTAACTGTTATAATTTATACTTGATTATAAAAACTCATTCTCTGATTTATCACTCTGGAGTTTTAGATCCTGCCTCTGATCATGAACGTGAACTGTGTATAGTCTTATTAGAGATGATCATAAAAAGTGTTTATTCTAATTCTATATTATTGCAAAAAACATCACCAAAATAAGGAAGTTTCTTAGCTATCCATTGGCCTATGGTCATAACTATTTTTTGCCTTGAATCCTCAGGCTTTTGACCTTTATGAACAAAGATATGCTGCTGTGAAGATCCATCAGCTTAATAAAAGCTGGAGAGATGAGAAAAAAGAAAACTACCACAAGTAAATATTGAGACTTTATGTATTTTAGACATTGAGTTTTTAATGGTCATGGAGAATTAACACTCTGTCTTCTTGTAGACATGCCTGCAGAGAGTATAGAATACACAAAGAACTGGATCACCCCAGGATAGTTAAACTCTATGATTATTTCTCCTTGGATACAGATACGTAAGTGAATAATGAGGACATGCTTGGGGTGGGCACTTGGTGCCATCGTGAAGAAGCTGTTAGGGATGCCCGCATCCTGTGTCAGAGTGCCTCACCCCTGTCCTGGCTTCCTGCTGGGTCTAGTCCACTCACGGAGCCAGCAGGTCAGGCTCACATCTCACCACCAATGTGGGGAGCCCCCGATACCTCCTGGGCTTGTGGCTCCAGCAGGTGTATGAGCAGTGTCCCAGCAGAGGGAAGACCTGTCAGACTGGCTGTTGCTTGCCCTAGCTGTCAGGGTCATGTTATCTCCATCGTGATTCTGAACTGCGGGATAATGTTTACATCTAATTGATTTCTCTCCATTACAGATTTTGTACAGTGCTAGAATACTGTGAAGGAAATGACTTGGATTTCTATTTGAAGCAACATAAGTTAATGTCAGAGAAAGAAGCTAGATCTATTGTAATGCAGATTGTGAATGCACTAAGATATCTCAACGAGATCAAACCCCCTATTATACATTACGATCTTAAGCCAGGTAACTTACATGTCTAACTCTTACAAGTTCCAAAGAATCTAATTTCTAAAAGCCTTTAAGTTACCGTAAATGTGGCTTTTGGTTTAGTTTTTAAAACTTGAGTGGGATGCTGATAGAGTAAAAAGTCATTTTATTACATCACTACATTCATTTTACTTCCAAGAAGGTAAAAATGTTTTTTCACATATCACTTTAAAAATCTTAGGAAACATCCTGTTGGTAGATGGAACAGCATGTGGAGAAATCAAAATCACTGATTTTGGCCTGTCCAAGATTATGGATGATGACAGCTACGGTGTGGACGGAATGGACCTAACTTCCCAAGGCGCAGGCACATACTGGTAAGTGTTGGATCACAAAGAGCAGAATTAGCCAGACTAGTGCCTAGGGTTTGATGAGCATTTACATGGAGCCTCTGAGCTGAAGGAGACCCCATGGTTAGCCACCTTCTCTCTATGCTTAACCACAAATATCTACAAACTAGCAATTCAGGGACTTGACATTAACAGTTAACTTTAGTACCAACCAGTCACAGAAACTCCTATGAATAACTGAGGGATTTTTTTTCCTCAGTGCTAGAATCATGTTTATGATGAACCTAAATACTTACATCAATTATTCCAAGCCTGTCAAGCTTTGTGGATGTTTTATGGCTGTAGATCTTGTGGGTTAATCTGAATGAATGCCATCCCTTCAGCATACTGAGGTGTTGACCAAAAACACATTGATACGAATTGACTACTTTCAGAATATGAGCTTACCAGAAGAAACGAAATGAATAGGGAGATTATTGTCACAGTCCTGCTCAGTGAAGCTGGGGACACTTAACACTTATGGGACTTAAGTTTCCTCATATTCTGGAATGTTTGCCAGTTCCACAAAATTCCATAGATCTGAATAAATATTTCCAATGAGTGGGAATTAAGGGTTCAGATTCTGCTTGTGGCAATTCAAGGAACAGGAATAAGATAACGTGGCATCCCCACAGTGTTGAGAAACTTAACAGTTCAAAGCAGCAGTCACCCTGGAAATCATCCTTGTCAGTCAGTTCTTAGTTGTTGACTGTGGTCCAGTTGTTGGCCCCGTGAGCCTCCCGTGTCTTCACCATGGCATTGCCACTTGCTCTCCTACTGGGGAAAGGTATCAGACCGGGAAGTTTCCATTGGGACTGTGCAGAAAGAATTATCTTTCATTCCAAGAGACAAAGTGTTTGTATCATGTGGGAAAAAAAGATCACTCTCTGGTCTCATGTAATTACCCTCTAAGTAGCAGAGGGCTTGTTTTTCCACCTTCCATCCTTTAGCTTAGAGATGATGTGCCTGCTATTTCAGAGTCTCCCAATTTCACCTATACCAAAATACACACTTAGTAAAAGTGATACACTGTTTTACAAGGTTTTAAAAGTAGGGATTGTTATCTTTTCCTTTTTATTGCCCGAAACTAGGTATTTACCTCCTGAGTGTTTTGTAGTTGGAAAAGAGCCGCCCAAGATTTCCAACAAGGTTGACGTGTGGTCAGTTGGGGTCATCTTCTTCCAGTGTCTCTATGGTAGAAAGGTAAGTTCCATTAGCTCAGCTTACAGAGAAGTGAAGTGTTTTCTCTGCTTAAATGCCTTCCATGGAAAGCCTTTCCTCCTGCAGTATCTATGCATGGAAACTATTCCCTTAATAAACATTCTTTTCCTAATCAGAAGACTAGGGTCAAACACCTCAACATCCTCCATTCTCTATACTTTTAAAAAAAAATTTATCTATATTGCAAAGTCAGAGAGGAAGATCTTCCATCCGTTGATCCACTCCCCCAGTGGCTTTAATGCCAGGAGCCTCTTCCGGGTCTCCCACATGGATGCAGGGTCCCAAAGCCTCGGGCCGTCCTCGACTGCTTTCCCAGACAAGCAGGGAGCTGGATGGGAAGCGGGGCCTTGGGGATTAGAATCAGTGCCCACATGGGATCCCGACTTGTGCAAGGCAAGGACTTCAGCTGCTAGGCCACCGCGCCGGACACTCTATTTCTTTAAACCTCCCGCTGTAGCCTCAGGGAAATTCCTCCCCAATTTCCTTTGAATGTCAGACAGTGAAGGGCAAGCCACTCGGATATACTAGTCCGCACGCCTGCCTGGCCATTGCTGTCAGTGAGCCCTGTGCTCTGCCACCTGAGCTTGGGTTTGGATACAATTTATTCTGAAATACATAAGTGAAGTTTGATTGGAAAACAAAGGTTACATTGCAGTTCATGCTTGTAACTCACCTTGTGATGACAGTCGACTTCTGTTTCCTCCGTGTGGCCGTTATGTAGCGGTTAGCTAGCTGCTCGCTGCCTGCTGTCCATTGTTTCTGTGTTCCAAACAACACGGGATGGGATTTTAAAGCACAAGTCACTGATTTTCTATATGTATCTGACATTTTGTGATGTTAATTTTGGTATCTTTTTCCCTTTTTTAAAAGCCATTTGGTCACAATCAATCTCAGCAAGACATTCTTCAAGAAAATACAATATTAAAAGCCACAGAAGTTCAGTTCCCTGTGAAGCCAGTTGTAAGCAGTGAAGCCAAGGTACTAAGTTCATAAGTCTTAAACATTGCCTTTCCTGTAAGTCCTTAGTAGTACACAATGCAAGCCAAGTTGCCAGAGCAAACTCTGAGGCGGCAGAAGGAATGTGGCTGGGCAGTTGGCCCCTTGTCCGTACGGACAGTATTTTAAAATCAGATTTCAAGAAATATGCATATTGTGACCAATTATGCATGGATTTCACCAACGTTTTCCATGAATATTAGGAGCTCCCTGGGTCTCTCCCTCCTCTTGAGACACCCCATCTCCCGGCTTTCTCTGAGGAAGCGCTTCCCCTTCCCTGCTCACCCGGTCCCTTCGCAAATAAACTGTTCTGTCTGCACAAAAATAAAATATTAAGTGCTCCCGAGTACATCCTTGTCAGTGATTTCTCCTAATCTAGTATGTGCCTTTTTTGCTTTAAATCAATATTGGTAAACAACACTAATTTATAATTTAAAGGAAAATATAAAATAATTAATGTAGTTGAACTCAGACAAGTATCTATATAATTTCTTTCATTACACATGAGAAAGAAGTTACTTATAAACTGTTACATTTGCTCTCCGACTCCCAAAGAAAAAAAGGTGAATTTCACAGCTTCAATCCTGAGTAGGACAAGCCAGGCACATTGGGAGGCACTGTGGTGCAGTGGATTAAGCTACCACATGGAAAGCCTGCATCCCATAGTCACATGCCAAGGTGGGCCCTGCAGCTTTTAACCCAGCTTTGTGCTGTGATGGTTGGTGGTCATCTGAGGGTGTGCCAGGGAATAGAAAAGTCTCTTTGCATTTCAAATAAAATTCTTTTAAGGTTAAATTTTATTTGAAATGTAGATTTACAGAGAGGAGAGACTGAGAAAGATTTTCCATGCACTGGCTCACTCCCCAAATGGCCATACTGTCTTCTGCTTAGCCAGGAGCTGGAAGGGAAGTAGAACAGCTGGGACTCAAAGTAGTGTGCCCCCAATCTACTGCAGCACGGTGCTGGCCCTACACACACACAGGCCAGACCCTGGAGATGCAGAAGTAGCAGTCATCGTCTGGGCAGTCCTAACATAGGTATCCTGGATGGGGCCTGAGCCAGACTCAGGATGCCAGTTAACACAGATAACAATTTGTGTATGCTTCTGAAGACATGCCATACTTAAATGTTTTATTTTAAAGCCTAGTGTCCAGGAATTTAGACGTGAAGTCCAGGACTTCAGAGAGTTCATGGAAAATGGAATCAGAGGAGGAGTTTATTTTAATGTCCCCAATTTGATATTCATTCAGTTTTTTTCCATACTCCCCCATATTCATAAGCTTCATGAAGACCCTTATATGTAAAACTGATTTAAGATGATTAAAGATTGTGTTCCTTTGGCCTTTTGAACAGTAATCTAGGAAACAAAAACCCTAATGCTACAGTTTTAAGAAACTTCTTTTCTCATACAGGCCTTTATAAGACGCTGTTTGGCGTATCGAAAAGAAGATCGATTTGACGTGCACCAACTGGCAAATGACCCGTACCTCCTCCCACACATGAGAAGATCGAATTCTTCAGGAAACCTGCACATGGCTGGGCTGACGGCATCCCCGACACCCCCCTCGTCAAGCATAATTACTTACTGACTCCTCCAAAGCTGGCATGGGATCTTTGGAATGCTTCCAGATGCACACTTGCGTTTGAAAGCATTTGAGCACCGGCTTCATTTCCACATGAGACCTGGTTAAGAACCGCGTCTTGACAGCGTCGTCGGTGTGAGTGGATCATGGACGATGACCGAGCGCACACTTCCCAGCATCCACCGTGAGCAGCACAGGGAGACTGCCTGTTGCAGACAGAGGAAGGCCATGTGAAGACACAAGAAAACCTGGCTTTCCTGTTTATCTGGGGAACATTGTAAATAACGTTTATAGTACCTAAATACATTTGATTGTTACTAGAGAGTTCTAATACGAAGGGTAGTTTTTCATTATTTAAAAACACAAGGGGGGAAATGAGACGTTTCTAACACAAGAACTACAGTGCCTGGATACATTCTTCAGCGTTTGGCAGTTCACCTGCTGAGACCAAAGTAAGAACTGAGTGCCGGCGACGGTGGTGTTTATAGTGCAGAATGTGAGACTCTGGACAGAGCTAGGCTTTCTCATTTACCAAGTTGTACCTCGAAACCCCCACTTGTCCTTTTTTCCCACTGGTTATATTAAAGGGGGAGCTGTTATTCCTAGACGCTCTCCACCTTTGACAAAATCAGCTGCTTGTTTGGAAGTCAGTTGAATTCACTGAATTATAACATCTCTAGTGATTTCAACATGTTTGAATTGCCAACAGGTATTTTTTGTTACCAGGCCTTGTTCATTAAAACAAGTGACAGTATGTAACCAAATGCAGACTAGTTCTATGCAGGATAATGATAAATTCCCTTCTCGCTCTATTGTAAATTACTGTACAGGTGTCATTTCAATTACTAAGTTTCAGCAGCTTATTCTTGTACAAATGTTTAAAAATATGGCTTTTCTAATTGGATATTGTATTTTTTTTAAGTCTTCTTGAAGGCGCTTTAATTGCTGCTAAATGATGTTGCTTCTTTGCTAAAAAAAAACAAAAAACAAAAAACAAAAAAAATGGAATGAATTCCTTGCAGGTTCTAGTTGACTGTACGTGATGGAGATCTTAAAGCAGGCTTTCATTAACCATTGAGTCATGTAAAAATGATCCACGTGATCAGTCTGTTGGGCTCTAGGGCTGTGGAGCACATAGATACTAGATTTATAGTGTTCAGGTTACTCTACATTTCTAGAAGGTTCTTATCAGCAAGGTGGGGTAATGGTCCCATAAACAAGTTTCTTGTGGTTTGTACAGATTTGTTAAAATGTGAACATTTTCCAACTGCCTTGTATGGTAGAAACCAATCTTTTTTCAGGACACTGTTTTTCATTTCTCTAAGGATTTTTTTCTCTGTCATCACAGCCATGATGCTTACCTGTAAGCTGTCCGTGTTGCAGAAAAAGGAGGCTGTACTCACCACAGATGCTCCTCATCATTGTACAGTTGAACTGTGGCTCTTAGCTCTGATGTTGCAAGCCATTTTGTGGGTTTTTTTTTTTTTTCATTGTACATAGACACATTGTCTAAGATGCTGCTGAAATTGTAGAGAATGTAGCCAAAACAGTAATAAACAATGACAGTTAAAATGTAAAGACTGAAAATTACATCAAAGGGAGCTTTCAAGATTTAGGCTACTGACCGTCTTAGCCCTTAATCAGCTGAATCAATTCTTTAAGTATACTTCAAGACAAGTACAAAATGTCTCATGCTGTTAGGTATACTAATAACCATTATCAACGCCAGTCCTGGGGGACTGACAGTGCTGTTGGGACTGGCTTGAGGGCCAAACCTGTTGCTCCAAAGATTAAGACAGAAATCCTGGTTTTTTGCAATTTTTTTTAAAAGAACCCTGACACAGTACTGAAGTGTTATCATTGCTTGAGTGCTTTAGTGCTGCCTGCATATTTCTCTAGTTTTGTTTGAATTTTCACCTTTCTGAATCTTAAAGTACCCTCATGGAATAACTGCTGAAGCCCTGACTTACAGGGAAATGCCTAGTTTTAAGATTGTGCTGAGGTATACAGTGGATGTATAAATATGAGATTGAATAAATAGTATAGACTTAGATTGCTGCTTCACTATATTACTTTTTAATAAATGACTGTTAGTGGCAAATGCAGAAATAGAGGAAAATAAGCCATACAAGAAAATGGATTTAAGTGACATGTTCAAATCAAAAACTAGAGGAGTGAAGCTGGCATTTAGACTAGAGATTAAGATGCTATACAACTTGGGTCCCTGGCTGCAGCTTCCCGCTAAGGCAGACAGAGGGGCGGGGCAGTGGGTCCCTGCCATCCACCTTAAAGCCCTACAGTGAAATGTCAGTCTCTGGACTTGAGGCTGTGGGGGACTGAACCGCTAGGACACTTGTCTCCCTGGACAGAGGCTGGGTAAAAGACATGAATCTACATGAAGACCAGTGTCATCCTCCTGAGGTTTCCCTGAACAAATGCTACAGATCTGGGGTAACATCCCAGCGACCCAGCAGTGGCTAAAGAACAGAATGAAATCTGCCCATTCATTTCACAATCACTTAGGCACAGTCTATGGTTGTGATGCCTGTCCTCAAGGCCAGGGTCTGCAGGCAGCAGCCCTGGGGCAAGGAAGAGTGGACACTTCCTGCAGTTCATTGTATAATTCCTGTTTGATTTGAATAGGCAGTAGGATCTGTACCTTGAAGAGACACTTGGTTGTTTCTAATAGACTGACATTTTTTCCTTATGCCGCCATCCCCCTCTAAAAATGATCTTGAGTTAAATGAGCACACTTCCTCCAAGACCTACACAAAGCCTAGACGTGGACTTGAAGTGAAGCATCGCAAGAGTACATCGCTGTCTTGCTGTCCGTTACCTGATGCGCTTTGGTGGCGTTCACACGCAGGCTGCACAGTCCTCCAGGTCACCAGCCACTCAGATCTGATTACATCACTGCTGAGTTTTTCTCAGAAAACAGCCTGGCTTTTAGAGGTGCGGGGGCAGGCTCTGTAAGTTTACTGCACGTTGTCACAGACTATCTGACCATTTCCCTTCCAGAGTTCTTAAGATTTAATCGAAGTATACTTTTAGCAGCTAATTTTTAAGTTTTGTTGCCATAATTCTAGTTTCTGGGCTTTAGTTCATTCTGCAGCAGTTTTAGAATTTATATAACTTGGCTGAACAAGTAGTTCCATTTCCTAAAACACCATTTACCTTCCCTGCGCTCACCTTTTCTGTCCCATTTCTGAGAAATTCATTCTTTACCATACTCTCCAGATCTTTAACTAGAAAGATGTGAGTAAAGTGCCTAAACGAGTTTGCACAGAGCCAGGAAAGCACAAAATACCGGAGTCACTTTGTCATTCATCTGCAGTAACAGGGTCCTGTGACCTCCCTCCCATGCATGTGACTATTTTAATAAGGAAATAAGATGAACCGAGAGTTGGAAACTGCCTTCTCTGGTTGCAGTGCGGACACACACTGCCTGCCTGTGTGCCAGATTCCTCATGCGAGAACAGCACTTGCCTTTGACTGACTGTTGAGTGAATGGATTCATGTATACAAAAACACTTCAAAAGTTTGTGGAAAACGGAATTAAAAGATGTTTATTTCAGTGCAAAATTGTGAAATTCATGCAGTATATCATGCACATTTTTCCTGAACTTTAAGATCCCTCTTATACATAGATTACAAACTTTTTTGCACCAAAATTAACTTTTCTTTTAATTTTCCATGAACTTTTTGAGGTACCCTTGCTTCTTCTGACCAGATATATATGCTTTGTGGTTTAAGCATTCTTTAAGTAAATAGAGCTGTGTTAAGGGACAGCTCAAGCACTTGTCTTTATTACAAAAAGTAGAGGGTATTAGTAACCTGCTAGGAGATGAGCTTATCTTCGGGCTTTGCTACGACATATAAGGAAAGTGTCCATTTTGCTAGTAATTGGAAACTGCTTAAGCCACGTTGCATTTTCCATGGGGAAAGTCATTCTATAAATTTAATAATTCCTTCCCCTATGTGTGGGCTGAGAAATACAAAACTGGCCCTAGTAAAACCCTCTGCTTCTACAGTAACTGGAAGGAGGCAATCCTGCCTGTCTTGAACTGCACTAAGAGGCAGCCAAGTGATTTGTTTTGGACTTGTAATATAAACATTCCAGAAAACCCCTTTCCCTCTGATACACAAACGAACCATCTTGGCATGAGAACCATTTCCTCCCCTAGGTCACAGAGTTGGATTAGAACCATGTTGGGAGCGTGGACAGCCAGGGCAGCTGGCCACTGCCGCAGTTCAGACTCGAAGCGGACCCTGATCCGCTCAGGGCAGGAGGTGGCAGTGGTCTGAGCCTGTGCCACACCCACATGACCTCATGTACTCTGGTAAATGAGCATCAGTCATGAGACAGAAACAGTAGCATCTATGGTTTTCTCCGTGCAGCTGCCAGGAGCCTAGCCCGGACTTGTTTGTGAAGTGAATAGTTTGGGCTTGGATTCCCCATAAGCTGAAGTCTCTGTGGTGGCACTGAGGTGCGTTACATAGGCTGAGAGCAACACGAATAGCATGTTCATCTCCTAGCAGAAAAGTTACTCAGACATGCAAAACTCCAAACTAGACAGTGTCTCAGGGAACTCACCAGCACAGCTCTCCTCCCCGCGTGGGCTGGAGCTTCCGGGCCACCTCCCCTCGGCTCCACTCACACCACCCTGTGACTACAGAAGAGTAAGAGTCTGATTGTCAGGTGCCTCAAAAGTGGCTCATGCTGTTAGCTCTAAGATCAGTAAGGGACAGACTGCAGTACACACGTGCTCCCTGGAAACACAAAGGCACCCCTGGTTGCAGTGCCGTAGCTCAGCACTGGCCTTTACTCGAGAGAGCTCCCGTCATAAGCCGCTGGCATCCTCAGTGTCCAGCACACATCGAACCGGCCCGCTCAGGAGTCCCTAACTGCCCCAGGTGACCTCACCTGCCTTCTCCCCACGCAGAATTCGGGGTGATAATCACTTCGCGACAGTTGTCAGTGTCTGTGTTGTACATGTAAAGCTTCAGGGGCTTGGCTTCGTGCGTCTCAATCAGGCTGAACAGATCTTCCGACTGCAAAAGCACAGACAACAAGGTCTCGTCACGTTGGCACACAGTGAGCTGAATCCGTCGATCTCACCTGCCTACCATCGGAGTCACCTGGGAAATTTCAGGGGCTGCTGTGAGGACTCAATCGGCCAATCCTCCACCCATGGGCAACTGCAGCCCAAACAGGCCCTGGTTCACACCCCCACTGCTGCACTTCAGATCCAGCTCCCTGCTTATGGCCGGGAAGGCAGCAGAAGATGGTTCAAGTTCTTAGGCTCCTGAAGCCACTGGGAAACCCAAAAAAGGTTCCTAGCCCCTGACTTTGGATCGGCTCAGCTCTGGCTGTTGGGGCCATTTGGGGCGTGAAGCAGCAGATGTAAGTTACAGCTCTCCTCTTGGTAAATCTGCCTTTCCAATAATAATAATAATAATAAAAATAATAATTAACCTTCAAAAATAGTGAATAAAACAAAGACTTCAGGGGGAAGGGCCAGCACTGTGGCAGAGCCAACTAAGCCTCCACCTGCCATGCTAAGCTCCCGAAAGAACACCTGGGCCCTCAATTAGCTTTCATCCTCCACTCCCAGTCCTCCCGCCCAAGGCCACAGCCCTTGGCACCCTGTGGCACCATGGACCACCTGGGGTGGCCAGGGACCACAACCAGACCGCAGCTTCCCAACCACCCCGGCTCCCCAGGGCGCACAACTTCCTCTACACACAACACAGTCCTCTGCGCTCGTCCGACCTCCTTCAGGTCCAACGACTTAGCTCAGTCCCCCGGGACTCTCACAGGTGCACCTGGTACTCCAGGCCAGCCGCGGGGCTCGGGCGAGAGCTCCACCGCACACTTCCGGACGCGGCAGTGGGCCGGGGGCAGGGTGGGCACCTCTGTCTCACACAGCAGTAACAGACAAGCAAGGGGAATCCAGCAGACCACATCAAGACCAGAGACCCAGCAGGGCAGCCTGGGCAGCCTGACTCGGGCACAACGGGGTCGTGGGACGGGGGGGCTCTGCAGCCCCACCCAGCACTGGCCCTCGCATGACCTCTGCAGCAGCTCAGGGCCGGTACAGCCCCACCCCACCAGGTTGTATGCGACACCCTTAGCAGTCTACACAGCGGTGTAGTGGGTGAAGGTGTAGCCTGTTGCACCGGCATTCCATACAGGCACTGGTTCAAGTCTCCTGGCTGCTCCAGTCCCCAGCCCTGCTAATGCACCTGGAGAAGCAGCGTAAGCCCAGCCTGGTGCTTAGGCCCCTGTACCCAGGAGGGATGAAGCTCCTGATTTCAGCCTGGCCTTTACTGCCCCGTGGGGAGTGAAACAGCAATGCCGGTGGCTTGCCCAGGCTGGCCAGGCTGCTTCTGCCTCAGCTAATCCCTCACCTTGCTGCCACCTCACCCCTTCTGAGCCCTCCCCAGGGGCCCCAACCCTGCCGCGCCCCCCTGCCCGCCACCCCAGGCCTTCCTCTACAATCTCATGGCAACAGCTGGGACGCTGGCGTCGTGAATGCCTGCGCCCGCCACACCTGGGCCTGCTCCAACATCAGCTGCAGCTGCCCAGGGCTTCCAGGCGAGGAGTCCCGGGTGAGGCTGAGCCAGCTCTCCCGCAGCGGCCTGGAGCTGCCCCCGGGGCTGCGGCGGCGGGAAGGCGGCCTCCACTGGCCTTGCCCCCAACTCTCAGGTTGCAGCCCGCAGCGCTCCTCCTGGGCAACCCCGCTGCCCCTCCGCCCGCACACGCCCATGCCCTCGTGCCTTTCCTTGAGGCTGCAACCAAAGGCACCGGCGGCCTCGGGGTCCCACGCGGGCCTTGGGGGCAGCTCTAGCCTTCTGGCGACACCGCACGCCCAGCCTCGCTTGGCCAGCGCGGGGCTCCGCTCCCCGACGGGGCGTCCCACGCCCCAGCCGCCTCCCACGCCCACCCCACGCTCTCCTGGATTCGCTGGCGGGTCCCAGGCCCTCGGACCCCGATGCCACGGCCGACGCCTCGGGGGTCGGGCACACCCAGGTTCGAGCCCAGCTGCCCCCTCGGGCGCCCGGGACCCGCGTGTGAGGAGGGACGGCCGCCGCCTGGCCCGGGCGCCGGGGCGGGGTTCGTCTGCCTGCTCAGGGGCCTCGCTCCCACACCACCCCGGGCTGCCACTCCTGGCTTTCGTTTTACTGTGAAGGGTCCCCGGGTCCCCACCCCGGCCCCTCCAGCCGGAGAACAAAACAACGCTCGCACCTCCGGGGGCCGCTCCGCCGACACCCGGCCCCGCCCGGCGGCCCTGCGCGGCCGGCCCGGAGACCCCGCTGCGGCCGGCGGCGCGCGCCATTGCCAGGCTCGCAGCGCCACCTGGTGGCCGGCGGCGCGCCCTGCCCCGCTCCCGGGTCTGCCCCGCGACCGCCGGGACCCCGACGCCTGCGGGAACCGGGGCTGGGAAGCAGCCAGACCCACCCGGCCGGCTCCCAGCTGAAACCGGGCCTTGTTCCGAGAAACAACACGCACCTGCGTACCGAGAAGTGGTAAATTAGCCGAACTCCCGGCCTGGCATCTGCTGTTGACTCAATCTCTCTCTAAATTGGTTCCTATCTCCACCCAAGGCTTATTTGTAACATTTCTTCAGCCTGATTCAAAGCAACTTTTTGTTTTCAACAGGCGTTAACATACACACAGATATCAAAACACATCTCGTCTGTGTATCACGGCGGGTAACACCAACCCTAGCCTCCCTTTCCCCCTTCTTCCACGGCCTTGTGATCCCCCAGACCACCCTCACCTGTCGCCTTCCAGAACAATCTCAGGATGCCAAGGACCCCAGCAGTCTCAGCTGGCTGTTTGATGCCAGGCGAGGCTTCAGGTTTTTAAAGTTGCATGCTTCAGTTTTTTTTTTTTTTCTTTCTTTCTTTTTAATTTCTGGCCTGTCCTTCCGAAAGTAAGACAAAAACGAAACCTTGGCCAAGACCAAAGCCGGCAAATGCCTGATGTACTTAATTGAAAGGCAGAGCCTTCCGCCGGTTCACTCCCCAAATGGCTCCCACACCAGGGCTGGGTCGGTCGGAAGCCAGGAGCCGAGGGCTTTTTCCGGGTCTCCCACGCGGATGCAAGGGCCCAGGCACCTGGGACCCTGTTCTGCTGGCTTCTCAGGCCATCAGCAGGGAGCTGGATGGGAAGTGGAACCGCAGCGACTCCAGCTGACTTCCGAGGTGCCATGCCCGCCTCCCCAGGTGTAGCCTGATCCCGCTATACCCTCACAAGCCCAGAGCTGCTGGACCTTCTCATCAGGGGCCTCCCCTCCCACCCCCACGACCGGCCTCCCTAAGTGGACCTGCAGCGGGGTGCCTTCCCGGGTCTGCTATTCACCGCCAAGAGCCCGCGGCAGGCTGGGCTCTGCCCGACAGGATAGCCCAGGAGGCCGCCTGGGCTTCGGGTGCCCTCTCACCGGGGACCTCTCCGGGCCGACCCACTCCCAAACACCGACCACCGCTGCCCCTCACCTTGTCCCGGCCCGGGTCCCGGCTGAGTGTGTTGCACCGCGGCTGTAGGCTGGTCACGGAGGCTGCAAGACCGACGGCGGGAGGCTGAGCTCTCGCTCTGAACTATGGGGGAGGAAGGTGGTGTGGGGCTACACCGCCCGCAGGTGCGTGTCATCCCATTGGCTTTGCTGATGAGCACTTAATTCACTTGTGTTCTGGAAAACTCCTCCAACAAGCGAGTGCGCGAGACACAAGACGCCCCGTACCCCACACCGGCCTCTTCCGAGGACCTCGCAAAGCGGCTCACCTGGAGCTGAGGTGCCCCGGGCCCCCGGGGCCCGCCGCGCGCGCTCCCTCCAGGAGCCGGAAAACCATTCCGGGACGCAGGACCTCCCAGCTGCCAGGTCAAAGGCAGCAGCTGATCCGAACCTGTCTGTTAAGCGGGAATAACGGATAGGTTTGGGAAAGGCTCCCGTTCCGCACTACCCTGCCGGGGCGCAATTTCCTCGCCCTGGGCTCTACTAGTTTGCGCTACAGCTGGATGGTTCCTCGACCCCCCAGGAGTGGAGGGGGCGTCCGGCTCACGCCCCAGGTTTCCCAGCCGCGCCCCAGCAGGCGGGCGAGGAGCGGACCCTGGGCTGGCGGGACTGAGCGCCCACCCGCTCTCTGCGTCCTTGGACAGCTTCAATTAATATGCGCATCTTAACATGCTCTTGGAGGCTCAGAGGAAGCCGGAGGGGTCGGGTTGGGGAAGCCAGTTTCCAATTGTCCTGGGGCGAATTCGCTCTGCTCTGGGCTCACTCGGGAGCATGGGTGACACTTGGCTAGCCAGGGACCCGGTCCCATGTCATAGGGTCCCGGTTCCAGGGCCCCAGCCCCGCGCTCTTCGGGGTCCCCGGAGTCGCAGGTGGATACCATCCCGGGGTTCGTGCGGACGGCGTCCTGGGGGCCGCTCGTGCCTGAACCCCCTCCAGCCACACCCCGCCCCAGCCCCCCGAGGCGGCCCGTTCCTATCGGTCAGGTCATTGTCTGAGACTCCATTCCCCGTTCTCCTAGGTGACCCGGCTTCCCTCGCCGGAGACCCGTGCGTGCGCGGGGCCTGACGCGCGAAAGGCAGGCTTCGGTGCTTTGCTAAGTGGGGACACTGAGGACAAATGGCGACCTTCCTCACCGGGTGCTCTGGCGGCACCGGGGAGAGAACAGCCGCTACCCTGCTTTCTGAGGCCAACACTGACCCTTACAGGAGTCGGTCTGTTTTCCTTAAAAGGCAACTGATTTAAAAATAGCGCCACTCACTGGAAGGGGGGACACAGGTGGTTGCTATTTTTTCAATTAAATAAATATACCAGCAGCTAACAGACTGAGGCAGGAACTGGTAGGGCGTCGGGGCTGTTACGACCCTGCCGGGGTCCCCTCTGCACGTGCGGGGGCCCAGGCCAGCCTTCCAGCCTCTGATCCAACCCCCGTGCCGGCTTTCCTGACTCGGCCGGTCTTCCAGCCATGGCTAGGCTGCTCGGGCCTCCCAGAGCTCCCAGCGCACTGAGCAGAGGGTAAAGGTAGGCTCAGGGCAGCACTGCCGCAGGCCTGTCTCTCTCCTACTCCCCGCCTCGACTGGCTTCCCTGTGCTCACAGAAGTCTTCATGGCTATCCCCACCTCAGCAGCTTTACAGAGCTTTCTTAGGAAGATGGTCCCTCAGGGCCCCCATGTATAATGGCTCAACTGGCTGACCTTCCCCCTCCCAAGCACCAGGATCCCGTTCGGGCACCGGCTTGTGCCCCAGCTGCTCCACTTCCCATCTGGGTCCCTGCTCAGACTGGGAAAGCAGAGGAGGATGGCCCAAAGCCTTGGGACCCTGCACCTCCAGGGGGCACCTCAAGGTTGCTCCTAGTTTCAGGCTCAGCTCCAGCCATCGTGGCCATTTTGAGGAGTGAACCAGAAGATGGAAGATCTTTCTCCTTCTCTGTAAATCTGTCTTTCCGATAGATTTTTTAAAAATCTTAAAATAAGGGGAAAACATAGCTCAGGGTCATCCTCATTCTTAAGAGAACTGTGACCTCATGAGACACAAGAACCATGGCACTGGAAGAGCAGCTGTTTAAAAACCCCATGGGCCGGTGCTCGGGTTTGCATGGGCTCTGCTCCCAGTCCCGGCTTCCTGCTCATACGTACCCTGGGAGGGAGCAGGCGGCGGCTCAAGCAGCTGGGCCCCGGCCACCCACGCGGAGATCCGGATGAAGTCCCCATTCGAAGTTCTGACTCTGGCACTGACAGTGTGCCAATGGATGGGAGGGAGGGAGCTCGCTTGCCCTGCCTTTCAGATAAAATACATAAAGAAATTTAAGTACCAAGTGAAAAGTTTATTATGTACTTTCCACTAAAGGGATCAGCTTAAAATTATTTGAAAGAGTTACAAACAGAAGAAAAGAGAGCAAGATCTTCCATTTGTCCACTGGTTCATCCCTGAGATGGCCCCAGCACTGGGACCAGGACACTGGCAGACCTGGTCCAGAGAGGAATAGCCAGAGTCTGAACCAGCACCCATCGGAGATGCCGACACCGCACGTGGATGCTTAAGCCACTCTACCATAATGCTGGCTACAACATTTATTGTAATTTTCTCAACTTTTTCCCTCTTCTAGAAACTTACGTATCTATTTGTCTACCTGCTGTAATTATGGTCCTTTTCAAAACAATTCTTAAATTGCATAGAAAGGAAACCTTCGGTGTGATGCTTTGATTAAGGAACTAAAACCTTTTACCACTCAGAGTTAAGGACAAGTTTGGCTCCAGACACAGAGGCAGCACCCCAGTCGGCCCAGGCTGGACCTTCCCTGAGAAGCTCCAGGTCACTGCTGGTAGGGTGGCCAGCGATGTGGCCAGAGGTGTGTTACTCCGGCTGTCCCCTGGCACTGCCCACCACTGCCCAGGCCAAGAACCCACTACCTTCTTTCGTCTTACTTCAAAAACAAGGAAAGAGTATACATTTAATTTCATTCCATAAATCAGTTCCAGTTAACTTAATCATCTCTTGGAAAACTCAGAAAGCAACCATCAGTCATGAAAACAGAGGTGGGACAAACAGGAAAGTAACAAGTGCATGTGTGGCAATGACAAGCTGTGACTGACATGTCAAGAAGCGGAAAATGACTGTCATTTATTGCTGTATCGATGCTTTCCCAGGAGAGCTAAATTATACGTAGCCACAAAGTGCCACATTCTGCTTTAAAACCGTGCGACACTCCCTTTATTTCTCTTTTAAATGCCATTTTATGGTGTATGTATAAAGCAACAGCAGCAGTTACAAAATGTTGTCTGAGTAATTTTGAGAGCTCAAAACAAGGATCTGTAGAGGCTGAATAAAAAGATGTTCAATTAATAGTGCACACTGCATAACTTTAACAAACATCTTCAATTGGAAGTTTTGTGTAAACCTTTGTAGCGATGTGACTCTTGGAGACCAAAAGGAAGATACCGTTTCCTTTTACAGTTTAGTGAGGCGGTCTGCATTCTCTCCAACAATTTACAAAGAACAAGAAATGCTGCATTTGAGGACATTTCATTTGTCAGGGAAGGAACAGGAGGGGACAGGGAACCTAGCACATACCCAGCCATCACCTTCCCCAAAGACGCACACCTCGGCGGTGGCAGTGGGAGCCTGGCAGCCGGCCTCGCTCCCAATGCTTTTTGGTTGTTTAAAATACAAGCTCTTCCCCATTTCCCTCCCCGGCCCATGAGCCTCGCGCCACACTGGCAAGACACAAGCCCACGTCCTCTTGCTTATATTTTTCCCCTTAGAATTATTTACAGGACGCCTATAGTTACGGTACAAACTAGTATGAAATTAACGACAGTTTGCATTTCCAGACCCGCTCCCGTGGTTAGACAAATCCACCACGCCAACGCCCAAGATCGGTTCCAAGTTAAGGTGACTCGGGGGCAGCTGCCTCCGTGACTGTGGGCACCGGCTTCTCCCGGGCTGGGGCGGAGTCGCTGCCTCTGTCCTCCACAGTACTGGGGGCCAGGCCAGGGGCGGGCGTCACATCCGCAGTGAGCGAGGTGGCAGCGTCTGCCTTGGCAGTAGTCGTGAGGGGGTCAGAAGGCGGGTCACCGACGGGTGGCAGGGAAGACAGCAGCTCCCCAGAGCTGGCTGTGGAAGGACCCTCTGGAACCAAAGGGAAGGACGGGAGGAACTCGGATGGCAGGGGCAGAGGTGCAATGCCAGGCAGCTTGTGGGGAGTCAAGGAAGGAAGAGGTGGCAAACCTAGGACAGAAAGAGCACAAGATCATGAGTCCTCCCCGCACTCCAAGAGCGGCTGTCAACAGCTCTGACCTGCCCCTCCCTGAGAATCCTAGACAGACAGCAGTTCACACCTTCCTTCAGCTCTGGCTGGAGTCACAGAATCCAACATCAGGAGCGGAGGTGCCAGGGCTCAGGGCTGAACCCATCTCCTGGGCAGGATGGCCAGGAGGCTAGCCAGTGGAGATGCAGCTGGCAGGGAAAGGGTGCAGGCCCTCCAGCTGGACACCAGGGAGAGGCTCTGTTAGCCTCCCCTTAGCTATCAGCCTCTGGCTAAGTTGGTAACTGTTTATTACACTGATGACTTTAGAATGCAGAATAACGGAAGGAGTCTCACTTCACATTGGACCAAGGGTTGCTGCAAGCCTCTTGCCCTCAGGGCCTCTCAAACTGGAGAAGGGTCAAGGAGGGGCCAAGAGTGCAAGGCCAAGGAAGTGTGATGGCGCCTCAGGCCTGCTGCTCCTTCCTTTACACCTGGCTGAACCTACACAGATGGTACCGCAAGTAGAGTGCCAGTTAATATTCCCAGCAGAAATGGAACACGATGGCATGCACTGCCATGTAAGACCACCCACTTGGACCAATGGTGGGCCCCAGACCACAGAGTGTATTAGAAGTCAGCCCCTGGAGGGTGAAGGGCATCTGAGGGATCATCAACTATTAGAGCAGGCGTGCGGGACAGTGCTGCCTTGTACCCACGGATGCATGAAACCCGAATGCAGACACGCTGAGTATCTGCTCTCTTAGCTGTCTGTAGCTAAAATCTCCCCAGTTCTTATTTCTAAAACATCATCTAGAATGGAGAACAAGAATCAAATACTAAGTCTTTCAGATACGGCACACAGTACCTTTCCATAGCTTTGGTGGTGAGGCTTAGCTCATGTAAAACAGACCCACTCCTGCCCTTGGCAAAGCTACCTCCCAGCCACGGGGAGAGACACAAACCATACCTCATTAGATCTGCACTCCCCGTGTGCCACAAAGCAGAAGGGGAGGGGCAGCCAGGCGGAAGAGAATCAGAAAAGCCTTCCTTATTCCTCTTCTTTTAAGAAGTTTTTAAACAAAAAAGATTCATATTTATTTGGAGCAGCTGAAAACACATTAATCTGGCCCTTTCTGGAAAGCACTGACCTAGAGCACTGGCTTTGCTGAAGGCAGTGGTTTTTTACCAGGAGGGCAGGAGGGCAGGACTGGCCACATACCGGAGTTCGCGAGCTCGGGGAAGCCAACGCCGGGCAGGATGTGCGGCGCGGGAAGGTTGAGGTTGGGCAGATTGGGGAGGTTAGGGAGGTTGGGCAGTCCGGCTGGTAAAGACATCAGACCTGAACAGAGGGCAGGACAGAATAAAAACAGATCACTTTACCTATGAAAAGCAAATCTAAGGACCCAAACACAGGCTGGCCACTTCCAAGGGACAGTCCCCAGTCCTGGCATGTGCCATTTTGTACCACAGTATCATGAACAACAACAAACTGAGCTCTAGTTCTACAGCTAAGTGAGAAGACTGCTAAAGCAAAGGTTAGAACAAGTAACTAATAATCCTTCGAGACCCAGGACGTCCGGGCATCAGGGAACAGGCCGAGTACTGTAACAAGCATGTGGCAGCAGACGGAACCCAACTTCCCTTTGCTGTCTGAAGGTTAGTCTCTCTGAAATGGACATTTTTCCTTGTGAAAGTCACCACCAAGGTGTGAGGTTTTCTCACTGCTGAGACGCCCACACTCCCACTGCCGCGACTGCGCCCTGCTCCAGTCCCGCTTACTTGGTAACGTTGTAGCTGGGTTTAGCGGTGGAACAGAAGTAAGGGACTGATTTACTTGTGGTGGCAATAACGGTACTGTTGGTACACCTAAAACAAAAGCACAATGACTTGCCTGACTTAAAAAAGTTGACACAAAATGGACAGACCATACTAAGAACCTTCAGTCCCATCCCCACCAGGTGAGGCTGGCTTTGCCCCGATCCCTGACCTCACCTCCCTTCATGCTGATCCGCCGACTGCCCACAGCCCTGACAGAGCCTGGGCCCAGAGCGGGGAAGCTGTGCAACCCTCCCTCACCACTAAGCTCCCTGGACAAGGTGCTTACGTCTGACCTATGCAGAAATGGATGAGGAAACTTGGAAACGGGACACAAGGATTCTGAATAATCACCTTCTGGGTTCCTGAACCGAGAGACCACAGACAGCTGGGGCTGCTGGGCTCCACACGCCGTGTCATGGTACCAGCATGTGCTAGTCTATGAAAGAGGGCTAGGAAGTAGACACAATCTTAAAGTCCCTCGAATCATGAGCAGAGAAACAAAATACAGTTTCATGGTGGATGCCATGGCATAGCAGGATGGCACAGCTCTTGCACCCCTCCCCTCAACCCACACTGAAGTGTGTGGGCTCAAGCCCAGCTCCACTTAGAATCAAGCTTCCCGCTGATGCACCACTGGGAAGCAGCACACAATAGCTCCGGTAGTTGGGTCTGTGCCACACAGGTGGAGTTCCTGGGTTGGGATTTAGCTTGGCCAAGCCCTGATTGTTGTGGGCATGTGGGGAATAAAGCAGTGGATGGAGGAGATCTCTCTCTGCCTTTCAATCAAAATATAGTATAGTCATACAATGAAGCTTCATATAGCAATTAAGAAACAATGAAGTATGCTACAAGAATCAGCCTTGAAAACATGCTAAGTGAAAGAAGTCAGTCACAGAATATGACACATATTACAGGAAATATGCAGGTTAGGCAAACCCAGAGACACAGAGAGTGGATTAGAGAAGCGCAGCCTGGCGGACTGGGGGAAACAGAGGGACTGACATGGCTACAAGTTTTCTTTTGGGGCAGCAAAACATTCTAAAAGTGATGAAGTTGCTGGTTTCACAACTCTGCAAATACACTAAAAATTACTGACTTGAATACTCTAGGTAAAATTGTAAGAAATATAAATGATAAATAAGTAAAATTTAAAAACAAGACAAAAAAAATAAATAAAAACACTAGGGCCCAGCATGGCAGCCTAGCAGCTAAAGTCCTCTCATTGTACACACCAGGATCCCATATGTGTGCCAGTTCTAATCCCGTTAGCCCTGCTTCCCATTCAGCTCCCTGCTTGTGGCCTGGGAAAGCAGTCAAGGACAGCCCAAAGCCTTGGGACCCTACACCTGCATGGGAGACCCAGAGGAGCTCCTGGCTCCTGGCTTTGGATCGACTCAGCTCCTGCCATTGCAGCCGCTTGGGGAGTGAATTATGGGAGATCTTCCTCTGTCTCTCCTCCTTTCTGTACTGTGTGTCTGACTTTCCAATAAAAATAAATAAATCTTTAAAAAACCAAAAAAACCACTAAAACAAACAAAAATGGTTACATTAGGTAGAACAAGGCTTGAAAAAAAAAAACCCACTGGAGACAGGCCCCAGGTCCACCAGCTCACTTTCGCATCCATAGGGCTATCACTTAGGAAATATGCAAACATTTGTTGAGTAAGTTAAGCAACTGAACAGAATTTAAAGGCGGAGTTCTGACTCTACAAATTGTGTGACCAAGAAAAGCTGAACCAGGTCTGAAACACCCAATCATGCCCACATGCTGGCCCAGGTGCACAAGGCACTCATCTAAGCGCCCAGACACAACCTGTCAACAGCAGGGACCTTCAGTTTCCAAGCACACTGGCATTGGTTTTCACAGCTCTCTTCAAGAACATCAAGGCACACAAAGTAAACCGCAGACATATTTCTGCATACCTGTACTGAGCACGTTATTGACAGCCGGCGAAGTTGAGCTAACAGAAAGTCCCGACAGACCCTGTTCAATTCCTGTGGTTCCAGGTGGTGACAAAGATGGGGGGTGAACTGAGGACAGCTGGACCTTCCAAGGTAAGGGGAGGAAAAGAGCAGCAACAAATCAGTTCATTATAAAGAAAACAACAACAACAACAACAAACACACTGGCTCTCCGTCTGCCCCAGAGCAGCACCCTGGGATCACGGGGCAGCTGCAAGGCGGGGTGCGCCCTTTCAGGCAGCACTTCCGGACTCTCACACCCACAGAGGGCAGGCCCGGCGGGGTCTCTCCAGCCTGTCACTTTCATGTCTGCACAGTTAGTGCCCACTACACAGAATAGTCTAGCTACTTCCAGAGCAGGAGATGGTCTACTCCTTTTTGGTCATCCAGAAGTCATTTTATCCAACCCTTGAACTTCACTGAGGTACTCTGAATTCTTAGCTAGTTAAAACTTTCATTGCTCCTGAAAGCAATCAACTGAAAATATTAATACCATGGGAGATTTCTTAGAAGAGTCTCAAGAATCCATTTAAACTTTTCTTACCAATGAATGTGACGTCCAGAGCTCCACTTTTCAGGGGGAAAAAGAAATTTACATGGACTCTACCAGTGTGTGGTTTTGCTTTTGAGTACCCTCAACTTCTGCCAGTTCCAGTGGCCTCTGCTACATTCCAACCTAACCTACATCATGGCCGTTTTCCCAGCAGCCACTGCATCCTCTGGACTTCTCAGACTCCCACTGACTCAGAGACTGGGAGGGGCAGTAGCCATAATGGTTCGATTTGGAATAAGAAACTACACTGGTCTGGTCTGACTGTGACCCACAGTGGGGTGCAGAGAGGTGAGCAGCCACCCCCACTCCCTGTAGGCCTGCACATGGCCAGTGTGTGCCACAAAACCACAATGCAACAGCCCTGTCTTGACAGCATTTTCTTCACGCGTAGTTTTTATTCAGCTGTGAAAACAAAACTTTATACTAGGATAACAAACAGTTAAATCCCCTAAGCCTGCTCAAACACCGAGCTCTTCCTGCTTTCCCAAGTTTCTGAAAACAGCACCAGCTAAGCATCACCTCACCCACCGTTCCTTTGGAAATGCTCGTGCCCGGGATATGGCTTTTTCTTCACTTCTTGGCTACACTGAAGGCTGACAATGCTCCTTTTCTAGAAGCTGTGTTCTGTTTGGACATCCTCCAATCTTCCTTTGCTGAATTCCCTTTCTCCTCCCATGCAAATTTCAAAGATTCTGATTTCAGTCCTCTGACCAGCAGAGCCCCACTCCCTGAACAACTTTTACCAGTACACACAGGGTTAAATTGCCTTCACTTTGATGAGCCCCAATTCTGCATCTCTAGCCCTGTCCTCTATCCTAGCAGGGCTGGTGGTTCTAGCAATCTGGGTGCTGCCCTGGCCAACCAAGAGAGTGACACAGGGCCTTTGACAGGCCAACCAGCTTCTCTTGCCCAGGGCAGCAAGTGTTGGTAGTGACACAAAATGGCCTCCTGTGTTTAGTGGAACGCCAACTCTTAGGTATTACCATGTGGACACCATGCAAGAACTTCAAATGCATCAAATCTGGCCTATGTTTGTGGAAACTTGATAAATTAGCAATTCTCTTACCTCCGTAAACCCATCTTTAAGAGGAGTAATAGGTGTACCGGTCATTTGTCCTGGAAGGGAGATTTTCTTTCCTTCTTCAAATGGACGCGTAGGTATTCGATGCAAATAACCATATCCAATGCCACATCCTAGGCTATGGAAACAATTGTTTCTTACAGTTATTATCAAGTACAGCTTGATTTTGAGGTTTTGAAAGACACACACACACACACTCTCTCTCTCTCTTTCTCTCTCTTCCACTCTTTCAAACAATGTCATCTTCTCAGAGGCCTCTGTCCATCCTCTGTGGAACAGCACCCTTCCCTCCACCAGGGATGCTACCCCTCAATTGTTTATTTCTCCTCAAGCTTCAAACACCATTCAACACACTGCACATTTATTTGCTTACAGTCCCTCTCCCCCATACAATGTTACGGTCCTGAAGGGCTGAGGCCTTGTCTGTGGCCTGCCTTACTAGCTGTGGCACACTGGCAGACACTTAATTACCTTTGATGACCCACAGCCTTTCCCCTGAGGAACTTTATTTTGAGATCTGATCACCCTGATTCTATCAGCCAAACTTCACAAAAGTCCTTTCCCCTTCTTCTCTTTGGGGAATTCTAACACTGTACCCCATACTGGGAAAATCGTCAATCAGGGTGCCTGCCCTACCCAAACCAAAGAGCAGCTCAAGTCCACGGCCTGGCCAACCAACCGCTCTTGCCCAGGGATAGAAGTCTTAGGTAACAGTGACAAGAAAACCAAAATGACTTCGTCTCTTGACACCAAGGTATCTAAGACTGGCCACAATTGGGCTCCAATCTGTGTTTCCATGGTGACAGCTTTTATTTCTAAGCTAGCTTCCTGACTCTTACAGAGTAGGTGATACACAAATACCTCTGTGCCCACCCCCTACCAAGGCATGCGTTACCTCCGTGAGCACCAGCACTATCAGAGGTTAACTGTAGCACACAAGAATGCCTCACATTATAAAATTACTCATTCATTCTTCCCTAACCACCAGAGCTGCAATTTTCACTGGATTGGATCTCAACAGTGGCCAGAACTGAGCTGATATGAAGTGAGGAGCCAGAAGCTTCTGGGTCTCCCACGCAGGCACAGAGTCCCAAGACTTTGGGCCATCCTTGATTGGTTTCCCAGGCCACAAACAGGGAGCTGAAAGGGAAGTGGAGCAACCAGGACACAAACCAGTGCCCATATGGCATCCTGGAAGATGCAAGGCAAGGACTTAGCCACTGGCTATCGCGCCAAGTCCCCCAAATTTTTTACTTATATATTTGAAAGGCAGAGAAAGACGAGAGCGATCTCCTGTGTGTTGATGCCAGGAACAGTTGGGACGGCGCCAGGCTGAAGCCAGGAGCCTAGAAACCAATCCATCCTTCCCATGCAGAGGGGCTGGGATTCAAGTATTTGAGCCATCACAGAGGTGCAATTTAAAACAAGGTGCTTATTCATCAAAATAATTAAGTAGCGGTGGAATTTGAGGTAATGGTATGAGATCTTCTGCAAATTAAAGATAAACCAGGGATAAAGTTGAAAAAAAAATGGAATGAGAAAAAGTTGGCCTCTGAGGAAGGAATAAAGAGGCATGGGGACACCAAATACACGATCAGAGACTGACTCAGGAAAGTGGGTTCCGCAGACCTGTGAAATGCGATGGCTTGACCAACAGTATTAAACTACACCAAGAGGAAACCTCTCTTCCAATGAAAAACAGCTGACAGAAGCTCAGGAAATAACAAGAGTACTGCAGTATTTAGTCAGTAATTAAAAATGCTCCTTCCTGTTGGACTTCACTCTCCACCAGATTTTCTCCTTGTACTTTGCCTCCATGCTCAACAGGCATGCTAGTCCTAACCAACCTACGTGTTCTTCTAACTACAAAGGGAGCATTTTTTATTTGCCATTCCAATAAGTACAGCAGCAGCTTCATCTACTCATTTTATGGGAGCCAGTTTCCCTGAAGTGGACCAATTTTCAGTCCCCTTGGAAGGTCTCACTTGGGATGCTGCTGCTGACAGCTGGAGAAGGCAGTGATGGCTCGATCAAGGACTGCTCCAGACAGGCTCATCTGAGGATGATACCTCCAGCATCCTTTCTCAAATTACAAGTGAGAATTCAATAGCGACACCGAGTCCGCTGTGGGCACAGGCAGGCTTCTTGGCTGCAGTAACCAGGTCACCCTCTGCCAGCAAGGGCTGGAGCCTTCAAGAAACATCTAAAAATTCTCAAACCTCAGGATTTTCTACAATGATGGTTACACTGACTAACTCCAAGAACAAAAATCCTCCTAGCTCTAAGATCAGTAAGGGACAGCTGCAGCACACACGTGCTCCCTGGAAACACAAAGGCACCCCTGGTTGCAGTGCCATAGCTCAGCACTGGCCTTTACTCGAGAGAGCTCCCGTCATAAGCCGCTGGCATCCTCAGTGGAAGCAGTCAGTGTCCAGCACACATCGAACCGGTCTGCTCAGGAGTCCCTAACTGCCCCAGGTGACCTCACCTGCCTTCTCCTCCCCACGCAGAATTCGGGGTGATAATCACTTCGCGACAGTTGTCAGTGTCTGTGTTGTACACGTAAAGCTTCAGGGGCTTGGCTTCGTGCGTCTCAATCAGGCTGAACAAATCTTCCGACTGCAAAAGCACAGACAACAAGGTCTCGTCACGTTGGCACACAGTGAGCTGAATCCGTCGATCTCACCTGCCTACCATCGGGGTCACCTGGGAAATTTCTCTAAAAGTACAGACTCTGGAGGCCGGCACATGGCGTATCAGGCTAAACCTCCACATGTGGACACAAGCTCAAGTCCTGGACCTTCCATTTCCAACCCAGCTCCCTACGAATGTGCCTGGGAAAGCAGAAGATGCTGCAAATGGTTGGGCCCCAAAACCCACGTTGAACAACCAGAAGTGCCTGGCTTTGGACGGCTCCAGCTCTTTCCTCTCTGGAACTCTGCTATTCAAATAAGTAAGTCTTCAATAGGAAAAGAAATAAAGACAAAGACTCTGAGCCCTGCCTCAGATGTGGGGATTGTTTGTGCAAACTGGTAATATCACCTAGACTTAATTTATTACATCAATTCAAGAAGTTGTATTATGTGCAAAGCCTCAGGACCAATTACCTGAGATTTAGCCTGCATTCACAGTAAAACTTTCTTTACCCAAGTTCTAAATATTCTGCTTTTACTCTTCATTATTGAAATCCAGTTATCTCAGCACTTCATTTCTCTCATTTTTGATTTAGCAATGTCTTCAAAAATTCCTAAAAAAATGTGTATTATGAAAAAAATATTACATGGATTTCTAAATTGTTTGCATTCAAATAAGTATGTTTTAATTCCATTTTCCAGAAAATGTTGACATACTCTTGTATATTTCCACTAGCTGACAGATAAGGAAAAGGATCTCACTAGAATAACACACAGCTGTGGAGCAGGGACTCAGGCCACGGCCTTTGACACCAGCACCCCACACTCTCAAAGCGCGCTGCTCTGCTTCCTGCAGAGCTCCCTGCTCGTGTGCCTGAGATGACAGCACACAATTGGCACATAATGGCACAAGTGCTTGTACCATTGTCACCCATGTGGGAGACCCGGATGTTCTATGCTTCTGGCTTCAGCACGGACCAGCCAAGGCTTTTGTGGTCATTTAGGAAGTAAACCAGAGGATGAGAGATGTCTGTCTCTCCCTATCAAATAAATAAATCATCTTCCTCTCTTTCTCCTCTCCGCCCCCATAAATATATATCCCCCCAAAATCAAACTACCAACCAAACAAAAATTCCCAAAATTAAAAAATAAAAACATGGAAAGGAGAATGAATTCAACGACATAAGGATTTGATTTAGTCTTCAAGTATGAAAGAAACTTCTATATATATCATATCCAAATTGTATACAAATGCCAGACATTTTTCCATTTCACAGCTATTCTTTAATGAGGTCCCCACCGGATGTTGCATTTAATATCCTGAGGTATAAGCTACCTTGATTGGTAATGACTACATTTTAGATTAAATGCAAAACATGCAAACAGCTTTTTGAATTCAAATGCCAGTGAGTTGTCATCCACACACTCATTACCTCATTCATGACTGTATCTGCTCCAATGATGTAGTCGCTGTGAGGCCTAAGACCTGCCAGTGCTGCCGGAGAATTTGATTCGACTTCCTAGAATGACATAAAACATATTTCTACATTAATATACAGCAAATACTCTTCCAATTTTTATATTCACAGTTCCTAGTCATAATGATTAAAAAAAAAGGTATGTTTGTCTTGTTAGAGCTAATGTCAGATATAGGAAACAACAGAACATGCATATTTAAAATTTCTAAGCACAAATGTGTCTGGGAAAGCAGTGGAAAATGGCCCAAGTACTTGGGGCCCTGGCCCGGAAGAAGCTCCCGTCTTCGGCCCTGCCCACTGCAGGTGGAAAATCTCTCTGTCCTTTCTCTGTGACTCATTCAATTAAATATGAAAATAAATCTTTAAAACCAATTAAAATTCAAGCATAAAAGGTATATAATACTCTATATAAATATTTTAAAGTTTTCTGTAGCTACCTGCTTTAACAGATGCCTCATTAGAAATATAGTTCAAAAGCCTGTATCTGCTTTTCTTCAGGATTTTTTTCTTTTTAAAAACATATGAAACTTGCTGTCCAGCCTAATGATATTACACCCTTCCAATCTCCCTGAGCCAGAGACAACCAAACCATCCCTGAATCACCTTCCTCACAGCTTCTTAAACCACAGCAACACGTGGCAGCTGATACTCACCAGGACATGCCAAACGTTCTCGTTGGCCCCGTCAAAGCTGCAGAAACGAATGCTCACTCCCAGCAAGCCCTGGCCACCCCACATGCTACTGGGCGTGACTGAGGTCTCCCGCAGCTCCAGGGTTTTGCTGCTGTAGATCAGCATTTTTACAGGCTTTTCCACATTCGCTTTCAGTAGATCCTTTAGAGTGTCATTGTCTTTATTCTGTTAACAACACAGAGAAATATTCTTCAATCACAAAACTTTAATATGAATTGCATCTTAAGTATCCTTAGAGCCCTTATAAGAGTACTATTAATTAATACACACACAAAACATTCAACGATTGACCACCAAATATTCCTCCATGTGAAAACAACCAAGAAAATCAGAGCAACTCTCACATTAATGACAAGTTAATGAATAAAATTATTTCTTGAGGGCCTAGAGCGGTAGCCTAGCGGCACCAGGATCCCATATGGGCGCCCGTTCTAATCCTGGTGGCCCTGCTTACCATCCAGTTCCCTGCTTGTGGCCCGGGAAAACAGTTGAGGACGGCCCAAAACCTTGGGATCCTGTACTTGTGTGGGAGACCCGGAAGAAACTCCAGACTCCTGGCTTTGGATTGGCACAGCTCTAGCCACTGCAGCTACTTGGGGAGAGAATCATTGGATGGAAGATCTTCCTCTCTGTCTCTCCTCTTCTCTGTACATTTGACTTTCCAATAAAAATAAAATCTTAAAATAAATTACTTTATGAGTAAGGGGTTGTATATCAGAGATGTCAATAAATAATGAAAAAAGCCTTACAAAAAAGAACCAGCCATGTGGCTATTGTCATAAGAATTTCTTTCCAATAATATATCACAATGGATCATAAGCAAATGATTGTAAAAAATAGTTTTGATTTTGTATTTATGGAGCACATCTCTCTGTATGGTTCTAATAATTATTTATATCATGAAACTCAGCTCTGAGAAAAATGACAAGGTATATGACAACAGTCTTTCCTAATCCATTTGTCAACAAGCCATAAGTCTGAAACATCTGTTCCAGTTAAAACAACTGTTTCCGGGTCAGCACTGTGGCAAAGTGAGTTAAGCCTCTAGCTGCAATGCTGGCATCCCACACTGAGCACGGGTTTGAGTGTCGGCTGCTTCACTTCCTGTCCACAGCTGGTAACGCTCCTGGGAGAGCAGTGCAAGATGCAGACGGAAATGCTAGCTTTGATCTCTGCTAGCCCTGAAAGTGCCCACAGATGGAAGATCTCTGCCTCGCCTCTCTCCCTGTAACTGTGCCTTTCAAATAAATACATAAACTCTTTAAAAAGCAAATTCTGGCATTTAAATTACTCCTGATTGTAAAACTTAGATACTTAACATACAAAAGTCTCCAATGATTCTACTCCCCTACGGAACTCACTGCAGAGTAAATTACAGTATTCTTGTCCTTGATTTGATACTTGAATGTTTATTAATACAATAACCTTAACAAACTGGCAACATATTCTCCATATGGGCAATGTTTATTACTGAATTAATAAACATCTACCCAAGAAAATCTGGAGCAGTCCATTTTAAGAGATTACCAAATACTATAATCAAAAGTATAAAACGATGAACTTACTAATCTTGAACCATTAATAGAAACAATAAAATCAAAGAAAGGCTCCAGTCCTGCTCTGTGTCCTGGAGAATTTTCCTGTACCTGTAAGAAGAAAATATCAAACATGAAAAATGCAAAACTTACTTAGAAATGATACGCTTAATCTGAATAGTTAAGTATTATCAGTAAAAACAACCTCATTGATTAAAAAAAAATAGGTACACTTCAGCTCATTTCTCATCTCTCCCAGAATAATGAATGCCCTTCCAGCTCCAATTCTACCCCAGCACAACTCCACAACACTGCCTCCTTTTTGGGTGAGGCGGTCAGTCCTCTCTGCAGATGGCACAGTAGGACAGCCCATCATTCCGACCAAGTGACCCATGCAAGCATTTCTTCCACTAAGAGCAAGTCATCTTTCAGTTACAAAGCTTTAAACATATAATGGAAATACAGGGGTGGAAAATGAGCATTTAAAAATTTTCTACAAACTTTTTGAAGTAACCTCCACAAAGGGAAGAATTGAAACAGGTTAAAATTAACTGTCAAGAGCCCGGCGGCGTGGCCTAGCAGCTAAAGTCCTCGCCTTGCATGCCCGGGATCCCATATGGGCATCGGTTCTATCCCGGCAGCCCCACTTCCCATCCAGCTCCCTGCCTGTGGCCTGGGAAAGCAGTCGAGGACAGGCCAAAGCTTTGGGACCCTGCACCCGTGTGGGAGACCCAGAGGAAGTTCCTGGATCCTGGCTTCGGATCGGCATAGCATCGGCTGTTGCGCTCACTTGGGCAATGAATCATCGGATGGAGGATCTTCCTCTCTGTATATCTGACTTTCCAATAAATAAATAAATCTTTAAAAAAAAAATTAACTGTCAAAAATGAAATGATAAAAAAGTTTCAGTAATACTTACAGCTAGTAATAGTAGAAATGTGACAAAAACCTGAAAAATATAATCCGCCTTGCACTTCCTTTTTCACCATAGTCTAAGGAATTTTTAATCTACTTGAAAAGGTGCTGTCAAAACTCTCACAAATCAGGGTGCCCGCCATTTGCAGGCTGATTTCTTTAAAAGTCACAACAATTCCAGCACAGTCCCAAGGCCAGGCCAGGGACACAGACTCACCACCTCATACGATTTCAGCCACTTTCAAATCATCATCTCAATGGTTTCCACAGTATTTGCAGAATGTATTTCTACAGTGCCAATGTCAGTTGGAACTAGTCATTACTTCTTGGATAAATGTCACCTCTTATTTATTTTATGTCTAATTGTACTGTAGCTGTCCTGAAGAAGTTAAACTAGATTTTCTTCTTTTGTCAAAGCAAATAGTTGTTCATTATTCAGTCGGGTCAATGTTTAACTGACCTTACTTTATGTATACTCTCCTGCAAATCTAAATTGTTTTTTGTAAAGTCAACAAGTGAAATATCAAAGGGATTAGATTACTAACAAAAGTAATCTAGCTATTACTTAATTTCTTCATACCCAGCTTTCTACAATGAGGGTTGTTTCCTATTCTATGTAATATCAACTAAAATGTCATTGATCCAAAAAAGTAGACAGACTCCTCAAAGTTGAGTGGTGGTTGCCTGCAGCTATCATAGGAAGAGTAAGGCAATGATCACCCACATGAACCCCTCATTTGGCAACATTAGTATCTCCATTTTCAAGGAAAAACCAGCATTTAAGTGTTTGCAAATGATGTTTATATTTGAAGTGAATGTGGCAAAATGTTAAAAATTGATGCTTCAGGGGCCCAGCGCAGTAACCTAGTGGCTGAAAAGCCCTTGCCTTTCATGTGCTGGGATCCCATATGGGCACTGGTTCTTTTTATATACTTTTTTTTAAAGATTTATTTATTACAAAGTCAGATATACAGAGAAGAGGAGAGACAGAGAAGAAGATCTTCTGTCACTCCCAAAGCGACTGCAACAGCCGGTGCTGCGCCAATCCGAAGCCAGGAACCAGCAACCTCCTCCGAGTCTCCCAGGTGGGTGCAGGGTCCCAAGGCTTTGGGCCGTCCTCAACTGCTTTCCCAGGCCACAAGCAGGGAGCTGGATGGGAAGTGGAGCTGCCGGGATTAGAATCGGCACCCATATGGGATCCCGGCACATTCAAGGTGAGGACTTCAGCAGCTAGGCCAAGCCACCAGGCCCTAGGCGCTGGTTCTTATCCTGGCTACTCCGCTTCCCTCCCAGCTCCCTGCCTGTGGCCTGGGAAAGCAGTCGAGGACGGCCCAAAGCCTTGGGACCCTGCACCCGCGTGGGAGACCTGGGAGAGGCCCTTGGTTCTTATTCAGCTCCAACCCTTGGGGCCACTTGGGGTGTGAAACTAGCAGATTGAAGGTTTTTCTCTGTCTCTCCTTCACTCAGTAAATCTGCCTTTCCAATTAAAATACATTTTTAAAAATATTTTAAAACTCAAATTAGAATTTTTTTTAAAAAAAGAAAAGTCGAGTTACAGACAGGTGGGAAAAACAGACATACTAGGTAGCTATCAATTAGATGTGTTATGCCTATCTCATGAAAGGCAGCCCTTAATTAGGTGAGGAAAGAGGAAAAATAGCACAGATCACTGACTCCCCCAAGAATGAGGTTTTTCATTATACAGGCTCCTCATCAGATCACTTAATTACCTGAATGCATCCGAATGACTACTCATGGCTTTGGATCTTGAATTTAAACACTTCACTGATTAATTCCAGCAGTTCACCTTTTAGTTAAAAGCACTTTTGCCACATCACCACCAATTTAGAAAGCTGACTCTGCACACTGATTCTTATCACACCTCCCTCCAAGTATAAAGTTTAAACCTCTTGTTTGAAATGGAAAGTTTCCAGTGACATCAGGAGCTTTTTTTCCCCTGTAACTCAAAAAGTAATCAATAGCTAGGTTTGAATTCTAAAATAAATAAACTTAATCCTTTCCCTAACTCTATTTTACCACTGTATTTGGAACAAACATTGATTTTTTTCCCCTCCACTTCTAATGGACCTTGAAATTACTCTTTTCCTCAAATTTATTTACATTATTAGTATCAGCACAGTTATAACAACTAGGTAACTTAATTACTGGTCGGAAGCCAGAAGAGAGAGTCCTAGAAAATGTTCTCTTCCACCTTAACATACCTGTTTCACAACACGCAAAACAAGACCTACAACACAGCAAACTGAACACCCACACGGGGAGCGGCTCCCGAACATCACCCGCTGACCACGTCAACGCTGCCCACTGCCCATGGCATCACTTGATTGTTAATTTATGCTGTTTCTCTCAAATCATCTTAATTAAGAAGCCTATATATACTTGGTTCCATGGGCCATTTAACATGTTTTAACTGGTCAGGTTCCATAGTAATATAAAGTGAACAGGTTAAATTTTGAAGTTTAATAACTAAGATTTTCACACCATTAGAGACACAGAGTAAAAACGACATGGGTCACCCAGCGCGGCCTTCTCTGGAGCACTGGCAGGCACCAGGACTGAAGAGGGCCAGCTGAGGCTTCAACAGGCACCGGGCCGGATGCCAGTCACACGAGTGTGTCACTCGTGAAAATTCACCAAGCTGTACACTACGTGTGCTCTTTTGATACAAAGGTTTATTTATTAATTTAATTTGATAGGCAGATTTACACAGAGAAGGAGAGAGAAAGATCTCTGTCTGCTGGTTCACTCCCCAAACTGCTGCAAAGGTTAGAGCTGAGCCTACCGGAACCAGGAGCTCCTCCCGAGGCTCCTGGGTAGGTGCAGCAGCCCAGGGACTTGAGCCATTCTCTGCTGCTTTCCCAGGCCGTACGAAAGGAGCTGGAGGGGAGGGGAGGGGGAGCAGCCAGGACTAGAACTAGTGTCCATATGGAATGTCCATGCTGCAAGACAGAGGACTAGCCTGTTGAGCTACCATACTGCTCCCAAAGCAAAAGGCTTTAAGATTTTCTCTCTCTGCCTAAAAACTAGAGATGCAATCTTTACAAGAACAGTTCTCAACACCTCATCATGGGACACAATTTGAGAACCTGCAACTAAGTCCAAAGGGACCCTGAGCAGTCAAGATACACCACCACAAAGCAGCTTGCCCCAGACTCACTGTTCACAAAAACACACTGAGTCCACTCTCAGAGTCTATTGGCATTTATTTTACCTACTCCGGCTAACTGATTTCCGAGTCATCAACAGCCATAATAACAGCCAAAAGAACTGACGAAAGGTGAGATGCTACTACTGCCAAATTACAAAAATTAAAAATCAGAGAGAGAAAAAGAAGCACCAGTCTTAAGTCAAATCCTTACCCAGTGAGTAGTTACTGGAGCTTATATACAAGGTGCCAGCCCCTCACAAAGAAAGCAAAGAAAAAAGTCTTCGACGTAAGTTGTTTCTGTAGACATCCAGCGAGGGTGGAGATGTTCTATGTGTGTGTTCCAGAATAACCACTAATCACCTGGGACTTCAACACCTCTGAAATGTGGCTGATGTGGCTGAGGGACTAAATTTATTTTACCTATTTAATCAATTTACATTGAGATTAAAAAAAACCACACTGGGAGGTGGGAGAGGCATTTGTCCCAAGAACCCAAGTCTCAACTCAAGAGTACCTAGGCTGGACGTCTGGCTGCAGCTCTTGCAAGCACAGAACCTAGGGGGCAAGGGTGAGAACTCAAGTTCCTTGGGGGGGTTCCCGGCCCCCAGGGCCACTGCAGGCATTGAGAGTGAAGCAATGGGTAAGAGCTGTCCGTCTTTAAAGTAAGCAAGTAAATAAACATACACTGGGTCCAGAGCAACAGCTTAGTGGCTAAATCCTCGCCTTGCATGTACTGGGATCCCATATGGGCGTAGGTTCTTGTCCCAGCTGCCCCACTTCCCATCCAGCTTCCTACTTGTGGCCTAGAAAAGCAGAAGAGGACGGCCCAAAGCCTTGGGACCCTGCACCCGTGTGGGAGACCCAGAAGAAGCTCCTGGTTCCTGGCTTTGGATCAGCTCAGCTCTTATGGACACTTGGGAAGAGCTTTCTCTCTCTCACTCTCTGTAAATCTGCTTTTCCAATAAAAACAAATAAATGGGGTTTTTATGCTCAAAACATTATTTATTTATTTATTTAAAAGATTTAT